GTGATTAGCTTTCTGGCTGGCCTGGGGATAAACTCAGCATACCAGACTATCATGGACAGACGGAAGGAACTTGCAGAACTAGGACAGGTACTATAACCGCATTTACCGGAGAATAACATGTTCTGGCTGACTTCTTACCCCAAGATGTGTACAGAAACAATTGAAACAGAATGCCCAGGCTTCTCGCAGGAATCTCATTGTGGCATGGGATAACTTTGACTACAGCCAGACTGTTCGACATCAAACTATTCGTGATCCATCAGAGCATATCTCCGCCACCACTGGCAAGCTTTGTATCGGTCAGTCCATCCCTGCAGGAGGGCTTCTCCGATCTATGTTCCATCCAGAGGTTACACTGAGTCCTCATGATATCTACATGGCACCAGGCAATCAGGATGATGAGATCTTCCATCAATGTCAGCGCCATTGGATTGCAGAGGCCATTCGCTATACTCATCGGGAGGCAGTAGAGAAACTATTTACTGCGGAAGCGTGCGTCAAACCAGGCCAGATGAAACCGCGAGCCCATCTTATTGACTGGCCTGAATTCCCAGCAGTTAAACGACTGCAAGCGCAGAAGACAATTCACTACAGCCTTGGGCCAATGTTATACAACGAAGGCACGACAGAGGGGACATACAAGGTCATTCAGAATGTCTTTCTGGAGCAACTGGGGGATGATGATGATACAGACCTTGATGGGCTTTTACAACTGGTTTATGGAGATCAGAAAACAGTGTCACTCCTTCGTGCCGTCAAAAAAGAACGTGCGGAGGCTTCTCGTCTTTTCGATCGTTTCAGCTGGATATTGCCAATCCCCGGACTGTTCCACTGGCGTATGAACTACTTGGATATGATCTTTGAGCTCTATGCTGGGACAGACCACCCTACCGTTGAATCGACGATCCATCATAATAAGGTCTGTCTCGGTTGCGTACAGGGACACAAAAGTCCATTCCACCATAAAGAAGAGGTGGCTACTCGCTCATTTGACGCTCGCGTCACGGCCATGTTCTATCAGTTTGTCCCATTAACAGTCAATTTCGCGGATGCTAAAGATGTGGATGATTGGATTCAAAGCCTCGGAAGGGGTCAATTCCTGGACGTTGTGGATCAGATACGCCAGTCTCTGTTCCATTTTAAAGAGCAGCAGTCTAAGGTTCGTGAACGAGAAGGAGAACCAGTCGACTATGAGTTCTCAGCACATGCGAAATTCCTTCAGCAGATGGAGACTTACAAGTCCTTGAAGCTTGCCATCAAACTTGGTGACATTGGAATTATCCAGCGGATCTTTGCACAATGTTGTCTCCTCTTCCCTGGCACAAAGAAAACCCGATATTCTTTCCTCTCCTTGTATATGACATGGCTCACTCAAACCAAAGCAGCTGATCCCGAGCTGCAGACTGCCATTCTTGCCAACGGACTTGTGAATCTACGGGGTGCGGAGGACGGTTGGTTCGAAATTGATCGACTGAATGAGTTCTTCAATCTTCATATGAAGACACTCATGTCGACTCGACGGACCTCAAATCTGGACATCACTACCATGTTCCGTCGAACTGCTCTCACAGCCAGCTACTGTACTGATCTAAAGGAGCTTCTGGAGGCTACCTTTGGAGAATATAGCAATGGGCGACACCAAAATAAGGATGCTAGCCAGGATGTTCGTCATCTAGCTTATCAGATCTCGAAGTGCATCCAAAAGCAACCAAATGGTCGGACAAGAGGCTTTCAACCATGTGATATACTCACAGAAACAATTGGCGAAAAGCTCTTCAAAGCCGTACAGAACTTCAATAGCCTCGTCGTCAACGGACAGTGGGCACAAGAAGTTGATTTTAGCAAGATGACATCGACTCCTATTGCTGTTCTAGATGAGATTGAAGAGAATGACACATGACACTGAATAGCAGGTTGCTGCCGGGACAGCTTTAGCTATACTTCTCTTCATTCCATTGATAATACTCCCACGCTATATTATAAGGTGACTGACACACATTGATGGAATGCATCAGATGGATTGTTCATCATTCTCTACCAGACCTTAGAACCTAGGTCTTCTCCACCCTTCATCACGCGACGCCCATTTCCTGATACCACACCGAGGGCCTTGCGTTTGGGAACTGGAGTTGCCGAAGGAGGAGGCATGTCCATAAAAGCTTGGGATGGCGTGTTAATATCAACCCACGGAGAGATATTCCGAGATGGAGTTGGTTGACTGGTGCTTTCTGGCGTGACTGCAGAAGACCATGTGAGGTTGCTGCATTCACTCATTTGACTAGAGTCATTCGACACACGCTTCCTCTTTGCAGGGGTTTGAATAGTGGCCATAAAGGCTGCTTGATATGCATTCTTCAAGACATCCACAAGACCCTCAGCAAGCTGATTCGACAAAGCCCATATTCCCAATATTGTCTGAAGATCCTTTGCCTGGAAATATTCCCGCTCCGAATAGGTGGCATTTTCAATATATATCGCAAGATGGACATATTGTTCTTCTGCCAGTATGCTTGAGCAATCAGGTATGAACTTCACTCCGTTCAAAGCGCTTGAAAGGACCTCCTTGGACCAATATTTTAACTGGTTGATGATTATCTCGTCCATCTGTCCTGACCTCGGACCGTGCTCAGTATACAGATAACGAGTTGGATCATTGAGCTGATACTCAGGATTGCAGTTGCTGCAGCACCGGTCACGCCGAGGATTACATCTGAACTCTTCAGGTTCATTGAAGTAGTCCAGGAACCGTTTCCGGAGGCATTCTGTAGGCTCATTGGCAAGGAGATACCAAAATTCAGGCAACACAGCACGTCGCTCTTCATGACTTAAGCGTCCACCTTTCTGTGGTCTCTCAGGGTTTGCTTCTTTGACTTCATCATCTGAATCGGCCAGTGGGTTGTCTTCCGCTAGATCATCATTTTCTGTATGAATCTTGCGTTTCACGGCACGTTTCTTGATACGCCCCTGTATCCACTGATCAACGAGAATAACGATCTTTCCATCCTGTCCAAGGCGAGATGCCCGACCACCGCGTTGCCAGAGCGTTGCTGGTTGTAGGTTTTTGGGGAACCGATACATGACAACTTGATCAATATCCTGGAGGTCCACTCCGAGCGCTAGTGCCTCGGTGGTCATGAGGACACGAAGCTTGGATTGCGGTCCGGGTTTCTGAAGCTCTTTGATCATTGCTTCCTTGTCTCCCTTTGCGGTGTCGCTATGGTAGACCTTCACCGTATCCATTGCCTCTTTGAGGGTATAGTTGCAATGTTGAACACTTGCCCCATCTGGTTGCTTGTTATGCTGCAGCCAATACCGACAATTTTCCATGGCAGTATATGCATCATTCTTCGAGTCAAAGAATACCAATGTCTTTGGGATTCGTGACGGTCGTAAAATGGGCTGACAAGGACCATTGTCAAACAGGAAACGCAAGGCCGTTGCCTTCTTATGCGCGCCTTGTGGGATCCAAGCTGTTTGAATGAGCAACTCTGGACGATTGACGGATGTCCGCAAGATTTCAACATCCTTTGGAAACCCAAGTCCCTCAATAACAACGCGCAATGTATTCATATCAAGCGTAGCAGAGCATGCAAACCAGGGGACGCCACTGCCGAATAGACTTCGCAATTGATGCAATCGCGCATAGTCCGTTCGAAAATCTTTGCCCCATTGAGCCACAAGATGAGCTTCGTCTACAACAACCAGAGCCAGCCGGTCTCGGAAACCTGGATGCATAGCAGTTGAACGGAACTTGTCACTGATTGCAAGCTCTGGACTCACGAGGACATGTGTGAACTTGCCCGCTTGTACCCTGTCAAGAAGTTCGGATGAGAATGTTTCCCTGTTTAGGAAACAAGGTCGCCCTCCAATGTTCTCGATGTAATTGGTCTGCTCAACGCCAATTTGATTCAATGGAAGCACAACAAGGGTGATAGACTTATCAAGCAAGAGTGACACTGCTTGCAATATCATACTCTTCCCAAATGACGTCTTCGCAATCAGGATAAGGTCCTTTCTCAGGTAGATCAATTGTCTCAATGCTTGCAACTGACCCGCACGTGGATAATAGGGATACAGCTCTCGAATTGCTTGTCTGATGGCTTGGTCCTGTTCATCCTTACGCTTCTCAGACGCATCGCGAATCAGTTTCTGCGCTTGAAGAACTGAATTCTTCTCAACTTGTTGTTTCTCCAGCAAGACAGTTGCGCCCTCATTCTCGTACTCCACTCCCAATTCAATAGGCTCTCCAGCCTTTGAAGAAGTTCGATTATTCTCAGAGGCCAACCAGTTATCCAACTGTGTCTGTCCATTTCCGGGGTCGTTCAGTTTCGCGTTATATTTCCGAGGAGGCTTCCGTCGTGATGGGCGTCGATCTGGCATCGTGAGGCGGGTTTGGAGTCAATTTTCACGCGATAGAGTTAATATTGTGGATCAGATGTAGCCACTATACATTAAAATATGTCAATATATGCTTCATGGAGGTTTTGGCGGAATACTTGGGGCATATAATGGCTTTGACAGCTTAAGAAAGGGTTCCTTCGGGTATTTTAAGGACATATTTCTCACCCACCTTTCCAGTTATACATACAATTTTGGTGTCAATGGGTTCAGCTCAGAAAGATGCAGAAGACATCGTCGCCCGATTCTTAATATTCGCGTGGGTGCGCGAGAAACTTGGAAATATTGAAAGACGCGCCTGGAAACTTCGCCATATAAACACGGGCAAAAACCCCGGAAACTTGTATGGTACCACCAAATTCCCAGCTCAGACGTTCCCCAAAAAAGGTGTGTCAGCATCGCTGGAAACAGCAGGCGGTGGATGGCCAAATTCACCGCCTTTTTGGGGGCGGCTGAGGTAACTGAGGTAAGTAACTGAGGTAAACTCACGTTGTGACAAATTTCTCTTACGTCAGCACGCGCCCGAAGTCGTTCAATATAAAGGTCGCCTCACCCTTGCTTAAATTTGAAATTGTCTTCACCCAGCTTTTACCACGACAACGATGTTTCGTCTATGTGGTCTGCTTTCCAAGTGCCATTATTTCAGGCGACCTGTTTCACCCGTGCGGCAATTTGCTCAGTCAAATGTCCAACTGCTCGATTCAAACGTCAAACTCGAAGAAGAAACGCTTCCATGGTACACACAGGATCGCTCTTATCCCGTAAAAATCGGCGAAGTGTTTCAAGCTAGGTATCAAGTACTTGGGAAACTAGGGTTTGGGGGCTACTCGACGGTGTGGCTTTGCAGGGATCTCACGTATGTTTTTTCGATGCTGCTACGAAGAGTTGTTGCAAAAATTGATTATGTCTTAGACATCACAAGTACGTCACATTGAAAGTGTTCGAACGTGATTCAGCCGAGGGTAAAAGAGAAGTCGAGGCCTATTACCGCATTCACGCTTCTAAAGCATCCCATGACGGTGCCAAGTTTGTTCGTAAGGCGCTGGATAGCTTCCAGATTGGCCATGCAGAAGGTATCTATCAGTGCCTTGTACATCAGCCTCTTGGGATGAGCCTATATGACCTCCGAACCCAATTCACGGCCAAAATACTACCCGAAAAATTACTCAAAATGACGTTGGTGCATATCCTACTTGCCCTTGATTACCTACACGCAGAAGCTGGCATCATCCATACTGGTACGTTGACTTTGCTCAACCCCAATCATTCCGCCCTAATGCGTTCTTTCCAGACATACAAGAAAAAAACATTATGCTCGGCATTGAAGACATTTCAGTCTTAGTTGATTTTGAGGAGGCCGAGAAATCTAGTCCAAGTCCCCGGAAGATTGCTGGGGATCGACTGATCTATGCCTCTCGTAAACTCAAAAAGACAAAGCAGCATGGCCAGCCCATTCTATGTGACTTCGGCCAAGCCCGTTTTGGGTCGATTCGTTACTGTGGTGATATCCAGCCATATATATACCGAGCCCCTGAAGTGTTACTGCACATGTCTTGGGATCACAAGGTTGATATTTGGAACATCGGGTTGGTGGTAGGTGAATGCCTTTCAGCGTGTTTGAAACGCTATTATAGCTAACAATGTAATTATCCAAGGCCTGGGACCTTTCCCAAACAAAGCATCTCTTTTACGCTCGAGACTCAAAAAAGCAAAACTCGGATGCTAATCATATCGCTGAGATGGTTGCACTTCTCGGACCACCGCCACGAGAGATGATAAATGGCAGCGGTTATGCTAAAGACTTTTTTGATCTTGAAGGTACTTTACCCGAATACAAGCTTACGCTTTCCCGCCACTAATTGAAGATTTTAAGGTAATTGGAAGGGTGCCGTTCCAATCCCGTCAATATGTCTGGAGCAGCTTGAGGAAAATTTGCAAGGTGAACAGCAGCAACTCTTTCTTACCTTTATGCGCAAAATGCTTCGGTGGCGCCCAGAGGACAGAAAATCGGCAAGGGAATTGTTGTCAGACCCATGGCTAAGGTCGGAATGAATAAATTTGGTATTGGATTGGACAGTTCATGGTGTCTTGGCCCATGACTCGCGCTCTAAGCGTATAAAAGACGTAGCAAACATGCGGGTGATAAAAACTTCATTCATTGTCCGTTTTGTATTGAGATGACCGTCTGTGGCCTTGGAGGCCAGGTATCCACGTTTTAGTCTACTTTAAAAAGAAGTGAAGTAGCAAGGAGTATATTCATCAACTAATGTCGCCTAGAATATCTTCCACCCGGAAACGCTTAGCGATACCCAGATTTGATCTTGTTGGCCGAGCCATCTATGTGAACATGGGCTCTTTGCAGGGTTTTGTTATCGCCATCCTTGAGACGAATTGATATTACGTCCTCCTTATCACTTGGATCATCGTGGGAGAGATGCGGTTGGGAGCCTCTATAGTTTCCTATTAGCCTACACCCGAGACTGACTTTAAGTTTCCGAGAAAGCACCTTATCTCAGCGTTTTTGAACTTTGGATCCTGCTGCAAGTTGAGCCATGACCCTAATATAATATGGTGGTTTTTACTCACTGCCTTTTCTTCTGCATCAAGAAAATGGGAGACAGAAGTTTGCCATTCAGGAGCAAGGTCACTCAATTTGGTGCTCCCAACGATTTTGTAAAGACGCTGTTGTGTCGACTTGAACATTGCGGGAGGTATTCTGCCTGGAAAAATGGTAGAAGAAGAAACAAATGTGTTGCTGCCTCTGGACCAAAGCTAGGGATTGCCGGTATTTATAAAGGAATGGCATGTAAGCTGAACAATCACTATGGCGGTCTGAACGCAACGAAGAATAGAGCAAAACCCTATTTCACCCGTTGCAAAACGCAGTCAAGTGATTGGAGACGAGGCGTAGAAATCCTCTGGATACAACAAAAGGACTTTGAATTGCCCGTCTTTCGGAACTGCTTCCTGGACATCATGCGATTAAATTCAAAGCAGAAAGTTTTAATTTGACACGGCGTTCTATTGGTGACTCGCTTCGGGGCGGCGTTTGAGAATCTAGTACATGTTGTTCTGAGCTATGGTACATCCAAGCTTGACTCGCTAGAATAATCCCTCGTTCCGTCGTTAACCGCAGTTTCCGCGGAGTCAAAGTCCGCATTGCACAGTTTCAGATTTGAGCCCCCACGCTGATGTACCACAGCCTTGTATGTGGTACGTTTCAGAATATGATGGCACAGGCGTACTGCTACACTATCTTTGGATCTAAATTATCTGAGCATATCCAGGGGTCATCATGCTGTCGGCATTAACGTTACCTAACGAATACTGCATGAGACCGAATCTATAAGTTAGTGGATTCAATACATATTATGCAACTACATGGATTGGACCAATATATAACGAGAAACAGGAGTAATATAATACCAGGTAATGGAAATTTCGAATTCGTCTGTATACAGTGACGCAGCAAATGTTTTAACACCCTTGGACAGACCGCTTTTGAGACCGCCTATTGTAAACCGAAGAGCAAGTTTATGATATCTTACTTTATAAAACATTCTTGTTTCAGTAAGCGTTTTTCATAGAAGGTATAATATAATTCAATACACAAAGGCTAAGTGTTTCATTAAGAAACAAGTTAAACGATGTTGAAAAAAATTGAATTTTTCACCGGCAGAATCTAAAAATTCAGAGGGGTGTTAAAACATTTGCTGCGTCACTGTACGTGGTGAAATCTGACTCGTAGTGTCACAACCTGAGATGCATCGGTCCAATTAGAGATATCCATGAATATGTATTCCGTTACCCCTATTTCCTGCTATTAATAAGGCAATTTTAATTACATTTCCGGGTCCCGGGCCTACTGTATTCCCGACACCTTTCGAATCATCTATAGACCCTGTTTCATTCAGTATTCGTAAGCGCAATGCTTGACACATAGCTGATGCCTGGGGTATGCTGGTACGGACTTGTGGCACTGCCCAATCAGAATCAACCGCAATTCATACCGCAAGGAACAACCATATATCCGTTACCCACTGCAGCAGTCAACTCCGAAATTTTAGGATACGAACCCCACTACCCCTCACAACTCTCCGATTCTTAAACTTCGGCATTCGTGGGCGCATTTTACTTTTACACGATTGATCAAATTTACTGACGAAGTGTTAGAAGATGACGAGCAAGCCGATATGGGAAAACGCGCAACCTATTGTCTCTGCCATACAACAGCTCCTATTAGAGGACAAGATCCTCCCTTACGAACCGAATGCGTATGGGTGGCAAGGCGTGGGCGTCGAAATGCAAATGCTCATTGAGGATTTGAAGGCAGAAATAGGACGGAAAGAGTTCAGAGTAAGTCCCGGCCCTTCCTCCACCTGGCCATTGCTTACGGAGTAGGTTGAAAAATGCTTCGTTTTCCACTTCAACATCGGCAGAACGCTCGATAATCCCTCCGAACGCCTCCTGATATTTCCTCTACGCGGTCTCTCGGATGTTAGACCTGGGGCCTGCCTAGAACCTGGTACATACTGGTATATCAGTGATAAGCGAGCGTTGGTTCCACGACAATCGTGCGGAGTCGACGTTATTATTGCCGTTGGGGAGAAGAGAACCGAGGCAACTGCGACCATTACGTGAGCGATGCTCACTCCGCCGCGGGCACATTTATTCAGCACCGGAAGCATCTTAGGCGTATTTATTGCTAATACATGGCGTTTTTCTTCATCCTCGGGCTGCCAGTAAAATATTTGGCCATGCTAGGCGTGAGCCCTGTTGATATTGTCGTTCTCGTCCACGTTTTGTTCACAAGCGTCGGGCGTCTCTGGGCTGCAGCCTTTTCCGCTGCTATTACTTATTCTTTGTTGGGTCTCTGCTGCAAAGAATGTACCTGCTGACATTCTTTTGGACCATTCTTCCCAGTCAAAGACTTGCGACGGAAAGAAATCTGGAAATTCCTGGAGATCGAATGGCAGAAACAGGTCGTAGCCACTGGATAATAATGTGTCTGGATCGTTGTCGGGGTACATGTACGTTGGAGGGTCATCTTGGTTGCTTGTCAGCAGGCTTTGAATCGACATTGCCCCATTGCCCAAGGTTGCATCGAGAGAAGTTCGCGAACACAAACTTCTGTCATGTAACAGATTTGACGGCAATCCCGCTTGGCATTTTGTAGTAGTCGGCGCCGTCTCGTGAGAAAAGTCATCTAACTCATCAGCAGCTTTTAGGGTCTTGGAGAAGGACGAACTAACATTCTGGGGGTGCATTTCGTGATCTATTCTCGTTTGTGGCTGGCCGCTTGCATGGCCACTTTGCATCTATTCTGCATTAGTCAATGCTCGGAAAAGGATCGATATCAGTACAATCTCCCTCTTTACGCTTTTTAGAGAAACGATCGGACTGGCCCATAATCTCAATGCTTTCCTCTCTCTCGAGGCTCGACATGACGTGACATGCAAGTCTAGAGAGGCCCAGAATTCGGACAACAGCGTCAATACCGAGTAGCTGCATTCGACTTACAAATGCGTCAACTACCGGTTTCGATGAACGCCGACATCTGTGAATATTAGTATGCTTTGCTTAGAGTATGATGGACTGAAACTCACTTGTTCGCCGTCAGACTGACGGGGAGCGCCATAAGATATCCGGGATTGTTATTGAAATGGCGCCTTATTATGCGACTAAGCTCCTTGCCTTCCAATACAAGCCGTTGAATAGTATTCCGTAACTTCCCATCTTCAAGACTATCGTCATCCGACAATTCAGATTTGATATCTTGAACGAGACGCGCAAGTTGGCCGAATCTGAACTGTTCGCCATCGTGATATCCCTTTTTCACAACTAGGTTATAAAGAGCATATAGTGTGAGGCGTTCATAGAGAGGCATGAGTTGCGCGGTCCTTGTGATCTGGAATGACTTTTCAAATATCCTAGCAACCGCCCCTTTTGCGCTGGCTTGGTGAGAGATACCAACCTGGCGAAGGAAATAATCCGGATCTTCCCTGCACTTCTGGAGCGCGTCATAGAGCGGGTGCGAGATTTCTATCTCGCAAGGCCCTAATGACTGTCCTTCGAGGGTTTGCAGGATGTTCTCCTTGATGGCCTTAATTCCAAACCCTGACTCCGTGGTGACGAAGTAGCCTGTATCGTGCTTTTGAAGCAATAGGCCAGAGATATCGACCTGCGCAAGAGACAATAAAGCTGTTGGACCCTTTGACAGAGGCGTGTCTAAAGGCAAAGTTGCCGGACTAGCAAGCTGGTCGATGGGAAGCAATATAGGGCATTGAGCAAACCCAGACCGGAAAGAATTCTCCGAACTTGGGATACTATTTTCACGACGGTTTTCAAGTGTATGGCGTGGGCTTGAATATCCACCATCACTAGCGGAGTTTATATCGTCTTCAGAAAAATTTATGACGGAGGCTTCCTCTGCGTGACTACCTAGATCCGTGGCCAGGGAACTCGTCGGGGTTTGGTTGAATGGTGATGTCGTACCTCTAGAGAGGCTATTTGCCTGACCACTATCCTCAATCCCGTCAGTAATAAACTCGACTTGAGGATTGGGATCCGTGGTCAGAGAGCTCCCTTGGCTTTGGTCCGATGTAGATGAGATTCCCGGAGCGATGCCAAATTTCCAAGCATCAGTATGATCCCTTTCAACTAACTTCCGATTGATGGCCGTGGAATTTGCGAGTGCTTGCGACAAAGGCGGCCTCCCTTCTAATTCGTAATGCGCCCATGAATTTTCGCCCTCAGCATCTTCGACGTACGCCATGTACCGCCTCTGATCCTGATGATTTGGATAGATTTCAGATGTCCGAAAGTCTTCCCGACAAGCTCTTTGCCTCTGAGCTGCCTCATCCTCAACATCTAGACGTTGCGTTGATGATTCTGGTGTGAATGGGTTACTGTGGCACAGTATGGGTGTTACTGGGCTTCTCGGTCGGTATGATTCGGTTGGCTGATGGGAGAGAGTTCGCGCACGGCACAAGAAGTCGATAAATCTCTGCAAGGCAAGCAATTCTGAGTCACCAAGCATATCAGAGCAAGCCCTCAGACTTTGGTATGTTAGCCTTTCTTGGTTCCCTTCCAACATGTACCACCTGGCTAGTTGGGAAAGAAGACCCTGAAGCTCCTCATCTATGGTCTCCATAGAGAATAACGGAAACCAGATCTAGGTTTGGAGAGATTGTAAAAGAAGACGAAGCAGAGCTGATACGGGCGCCTCGGTTTAAAGAATTTGATACGTGACACCATGCGCAGCGCCGAGGGGAGTCTGGAAGCCGTAGGCTGCCGGGTATGTGCCCTATTGCATCGAATGAACCCAGCAATGATTGACATTGGCTGTGCATTTAAGCGCCTGCAATTTGGCTGTAATGTTCCCACTCCAGTGGAAGGCTACACCGTTTCTTGTACGATGCGGCGGATGGACCTCGCCATGGCCCATTCATGCATGGGTGGGCGGCACCATTCGAAACCGCCCGCCAAGGAAGTACAGCGTTAAGTCCAGAGTTTAGTCTAGCTTTTTGGTCTTTCCGTTTAGAGGATATTTATGGGAAGATTTAAGCTTGATGGCAGCCTGTAGGCTGCCCAAGAAAAGCATATGGTGATAAATGGTCAGGCTATTGATCGATGAAAAGACAAAATAAAAGGGTGACGCCTGTTAGCCATGCTAGTCTGAAAGGGGTATAGTTTGTTGCTTGCTGGCCAAAAAGCAACAGGTTATGCCTGTTCCAGTCTAGTTTTCAATAGACCCCGCACGCACCTATGTTTCCTTACAAAGGGTCCGTGTAATTGTAATGCAGGTGTATTAGCCTACAGAAAAAGAGGTTAGCTTAAATTTGAGGCGACCTAGGAGCGTATTGGGTAAGTTATATTCGTCAAACGGCAGTGAAATCTTTGTCAGGAGTTGACTAGGCGTGCCGCTTTCGATTGGTTAGGGGACTAATTGATGGACTACTGAGCCAACCGCGTTCCAGGAGCTATTGATTAAGATTTCAATTCAAAGTACGTACCCAAAGGCGTCAGCTGTGACCTCTGTGGCCCGGAGCACCCGTTCTTAGCAACAGACTGCAGAAGGCCCACTTAGGCATGCATGTAACACGCAATCATGAAGGCGACACAAAGCTGGTGTGAACGAAGATAATTATTTGGCCCCTTGTCCATCACTCAACGGGAGTATCAGTCGGATTGAAAAGCGTAAGTACCATTTGCCCGCCACTGAAATCTGGGACGAGCATACCACAATAGTTTCTCCATTCCCGAGCTTGTTTTCATCACTTTCTCAACATCATGAGCTTTTCGATCATCCCAGTTGAGGTTATCGATGTCCCCTTTGCCGATCTTCAAGCAAAGCAACCCGAGATTGAGCGATTTTCTGCCAGTACTCTTATTTTCCTTTGAGACTCCTACGAACCACTCACCGCATACGTGCTTCTCTGTCAACGGGCACTACTCGGCAAAGACGAGAACGGCAATGACAAGAAGAACTCATGGCCCTTCTCCTGGGAGTCACCTGGGAGATCTCAAGAGAAATTCGATAAATCTATTCTGGGCACCGCTATACGTGAGACGGAAGAAGACCTCAATTTGCACGGCTCGCGCATTTCTCGTCAGGTCTACAGGGACTCGTGGATACACAAGGGAGTTCCGATGGCAAGATACGCATTTCCTCTGGAAGTTGCATGAGCTACTCAAGCTCCAACGACCATGGTGCGACAGCCAGCAGCATCCCATCGGTACGAATGAAGGACCCATACGGTTAAGGGAAGATGAACATCTTGATTACTGTTGGGTTACGCAAGCACAAACCAGTGGTTCACCTCTCTACGACGAAAGGAATCCTCAGCATCAAAGAGGACTTGTTATGCTTGAAAGCAAGAAGGAGATGATCCTTGATGCTTTCATGCGGCTGAAGAATTCTCAATTTGATATGACATACGCTTTGTAATGGATTGATAGTGGAATATTACCTTTCGGGCGAGTCTTCTGAGATTGATTGCTTGAAGCCACAGTCGGTCTTACATATGTCCCCCTTGGACAGATAACTCGCTGATAGCGACCTGTATAAAGCGACGGCTTAGAAGAGAATGGTCCGGGTGGCGATTGTGATGTTGACCATTATTGGGGTATATAGAGACTAAGAGATCAATGCGGCATTTTTTCCGTGCCAAAGACAATGCGTGTCCTTTTTGAGCCTGCTCCAAATTACGAATATAGAATGCAACACTGGAACATCTATCTTGGGCTTTTTCGTTTCTGCATTGATTCCGTTCGACTTGATTTTCCTACCTCAACTATACTACTCTTCGTACAATGCACCGCACCCTGTTAATATCAGAATTTAATCGTGCAACCGGTCTTGGCTCGCAACTTGTACATAGGCAGAATTGTTCACCGAGAATCATGCATATTGGTAAACTTGTCTGTAGGCCCAAGGCCAGTCAAATATGGACCATTCCACACAAGGGAAAAGCGACTAGCACCAGGCAATTATGTTTTAAGTTCAAAACTACTTTTCGACCATGATAGTTTGTACACATGAATGTATACACAATCGCTAGTAATTTGTCTTAGTCGTAAGAATTTAAATTACAACTCAAGCCCACAGCAATCAGGGCCCTACAGCCAAAGAATGAGGCTTGATAATCATATAAATCTTCCTCGAGTACATCCAAATTTACGCTGCTCTATTCCAATTGAGAGCTAGTCGAAGTGCAAATACCAACCATGATTCGTCCTGACGAAGACCAATTCAATACAGGTATGTTCATTTAATTTAATGGTGATCTTAACCCAGGCTAAGCTTTGCAGACGCAGTGTATGCGATACAACAGGCGTCAAGAAACCAGGCGTCCCACCTCCACCGCCAAAGTAAAAACGAAGTTTCAGCCCCCATTCGGGATATGATATAAATACTAGCTGCCCAGAATACTGTTCCTATGCCATTTCGTACAACGAAGAAAACACCGCAGATCATCAACAAATTATCGGTGTCCATCTCCACTCCGAATACCAAACCCTTCAGAGATTCTTGCTTTCCTACCTAAAATGTCCGAACAACCTGATGAGGCACTTCATTCTCTCCTTGATACCTTTGCCCCAGGGCTTTCATGGCTTATCCGGTTAATCTCGGCCGCACTGGGCGTTAACATATTGTCTTCTGTTCTGCCGTTGGTTGCCCTTCCGATCATTTCGACATTCTTACTCCCGTCACTTTCGAGAGCTCTGGAACCCATTATTTCACTATTTGTCGCCTCCGCGGAAATTAGACACCGGAATAATCTATACCCTCAAGTTATGAGATGGGTATCTAGTGTCAGGTTTCGCAGCTGCTCAAGCTCGGTTATCGTTGGAATTACGGAGGCATTCGGATTTCTTTGGGATTCCAACGACGACTCTCTTAAGTATGTGGAGACAGAAATCCCAGCATATCGAGGAAAGATAGAGAAGCTTCGCATCACTCCGGGACAAGAGCGCTTTCATTTCTTTCGGTATCAGAAATATTGGTTTGCCTTCTACCGCGACCCGCACCGGAATGCTCTGGACCCCTTCTCGAGAAATGCCGAGAATATCACTATTTATTACATGTCCTGGAACAAGGCTGTTTTTGAAAATCTTCTGGTGGATATCCAAAAATTCAATGTTGACTGCCGCCGCGGACAATTGGCCGTGTTCTGTGCACGCCAAGATAAGCGGGATGCGGGCTGGCAAAACATGTGCGACGAGATTCCTCGGAGCCTGGACAGCCTAGCACAGGATAAAGAAATGAAGCGAGAAATGATCAAAGATATTGAAAAATTCCTCAGCAAAGCCGTTACCGATTTTTATCGGAAACGTGGCATCCCACATCGACGAGGCTATCTCTTCCATGGCCCGCCGGGGACTGGTAAGAGCAGCTGCTGCAAGGTGATTGCCACCCACTTTGAGCTTCCGATATATATATTCAACCTCGCCACTGTTGATGATTATGGCCTACAAGAATTGTTCCGCACACTACCGGCCCCTCCTGCACGCTGTATGGTGGTATTTGAAGATATAGACACTACCGGGATTGATCAGCGTGGAAATGCAGTGAACGAAGAAAAAGATGCATCTCGTCAGAAAGGAATAACGCTGGCAACTGTTCTGAATGCTTTAGATGGCATCGGAGCGCACAACGGCCATATACTCGTTGCCACCACGAATGCTAAAGCAACACTTGATCCGGCTCTGACTCGACCTGGACGGATAGACAAGCAATTCGAGTTCCGAAACCCCGATGCACCGACCATACAGGACTACTTCTCTTTCTTTTTTGGTAATGATGATGCCGATGCAAAGTCCCCGAATACAACGCTTGATCAGCTGGCCAGTCAGTTTTCCGATGTCGTTTCTCATTTGGCCTTGTCACCTGCTACACTGCAAGAGTATTTCTTGCAGTGCAATGAAGACCCGGTGATGGCAGTCAAGAATGTGGCGAAACTAGAGTCCACCGACCTACAACCGGCTGGTCCTTAGAATTACCCGCGGCGATTAAACTTGAGGCTGGTTTACTTCTGATGGTAGGAATATTATCCTGGTACACATTACTTTCTTTTATCTTTGCATTCGAGAACTTGAAGTTCAATCCTAGTGTCGTGACACAAGCAAAAGTCCGGAGGTCTGCAGCATTCAACAGCAGGACCCAGAGAAACCAACCAATTGCACATAGATATCTCAAGTACAAATCAGAGTTCGTTCAACTGATTCAACGGCTACCCGCTCCTCCGTATTCTTTTGTGTGGCAAATCTGGTCGTTTCGGGAAACCCGCCTTGCAACACGCTAATACTAGCCCCTGGGGTATGAGACGCCTTCAATACAATCTGCTGGTTAATCTTTCAATCACCGTCCTTCAATTAGTACGAACATGTACGGAATCCCTGCGATCTAATGCAAGGTTCCAAGTAACCGGTCTCGAATATGGAAAATCACGGATAGGCCCCTTATCGCTGGATAGTGCAATTACCGTAACATGTAACAGAGACTCTGCATAGATTTCTTTAGCCATTTCTGTTTGC